TGCGCGCTCAGCGCGTCAAACAAATATAGGGTGTCGGTCTCATAGCAGCCAGACTGTGTCCTTGACGCCGCATGGACCTGACGGTGCGGTGCCTCATATGACCTATTTCGTATTGCGCATTTTTTTTGTGGAAGCACCATTTCATATATAAGTATTTATATTTTTTAATTTCTATCTACCAGTGCACATACATACGCACATGCATAAACATATTTGTGTACTTGGTATTTGTAAATTTAATTTTTTCATGCTTTTTCTCGATTATTTTACGTTCTTTGTGATAATGTAAAGGCCCGCCAGTCAAGTCAAGGCCTTTTGTAAAATGTGCACGACATTATATTCGCACACAAACATTCGTAGATATGTTTGCTCAGGGCGAATTTCGGAAATGCTTTTGATAAGCATTTTGTAGTAAAAAAAATATTGTATTGAGATTATTGGTAAATTCTAAAGAAATTGCGCAGTTTTTGAGTAATCACCATAACTAATAAATACATTTTTATTTATATATATATTTTTTTTCAATATAGAATATAAAAACTCAAAAAATCATAAATTATTGTTGTTCTTGTAACAACATAAAACATATGTTTCTAAAACTGGATCAATCTTACATTTTATACGCAACTGCCTTTTTAATATCCGCCGTCATTTTTTCTTTGCATTGCAAACGAATATTTTATGCAACGAGTGGCTTTTCTCTAGCTAGAGTCTCCCATACGCGAGCGAAAAGATTTCATAAAATGTGTAAAAGATATAGCAGATAGTATAACCAGAACAGAGGGTTATAGCGATAACCTTTAATTAAGGCATTAGTTCGACATTTCATGAATTTTTTTTTACACTTGAGTTAACCTTTACGAAAATTTCGATGCCGTCACGCTTAACGACAAATCGCTCTCAAGGTTTTCCAGCCAATTGCGCAATTTTGCTTTGGTGTGAAATAAATTTTATTTTCTTTTTAGTTTTAGGGAGAATCCCACAAATGTGCGCCAGGAAGTGGCTGCTGACCGCAAACTAAAAATAGTTTGCGAAGAATTAAAAGAACCACACTGACTCAGTGACGCCAACAAGAAGAAGCCATACGAAATACCAACACACTTTGCTGATAGCAAAGAAAGAAAAGCCAAAGGAAGAGCTGAGAAAATTGTCACATAACTTGGACGAAACGGAAATTTGTGTGAGGTTAAAATGAAAGGAGAGAGGACTTGCCACAAAAAGCTACGCTTAGCCACAAAAATAAAATAGAATAAAATACGCAGTGAAACATGTAAATTGCAAGAAATACGATATGAGTGGAAATGGCGTTTAAATCGTATCTGCGTCGAAAGCGAAGGGGATGAGGAAACCAGTGGCAGCCATATATTTTACGCAATTTATATTATTTTTTGCACCAGCAGCGGTCAAGCAAACTTCCGGGGTGAGCAAAAAATTAATAAAAAAAATTTAAAATATATAAGATAAAGAAAGCTTAAGAAACGCATTTCCTTTGGCTTAAAATATTACTTGTATCTTACTAGTGGCACGCAAAAAGCCAAAACAGCAGCGTGAACAAGCGTAAGGCGATATGGACACCCGATACTTAGGCAACGTGGCGTTTAGGTAGTATTTCCTACACCGAAAAGCAAACGATATTGCACGACAAAAAGTGTGAAAAGCAAGCAAAGATTGTTGGCGCACAATTGTAAGAAAAAATATCACAAAACGCTTAAAGTTTGAGTATTTCTATGATTAGCACTTGAATTTCGAGTGAGTGTTAGTTTTCAAAAGCTCAATTTTGTTTTAATTTTAATATAATGTGCGTAATTACAGTACGAAGTAATTTTTTTTTATTTGAATATTACAAATAAATCTATATAATATAAATTGCATGGAATGATTTATTTTTTATAAGTTTAAATTTCTAAAGTATATACATATATGAGAGCTAATATGTTCAAAATTTTACCAAGACGCTTTATTGTTCAATGCATTTGTGCAAAATATTATATTGTAGTTTTGTTTTGAGTGTAATTATTATCGAAAAGTTGGGATATAATATAATATAATCGTTTTTTATTGTATTTAAGATTTGTGTGTGTGTTTTTTATTTGCTCATTTCATATTATTTCAGTTAAATGTTGGAGTTGCCCATTTTTTCTTCTTATTTTAATAATTTTAGGTTTAAATTTAATGCGCTCTTTTACACAACATAATGTAAAAGTGCTCAAGCTAATGTAGTCATAACCTAAAATCGTTCAAGCTAATGAAATCACAGCTTGTTTTGGGAAGGATATAAGCTGAATACTTATAAATTGTGGAATGAAATGAAAACAAACTCTCTAAGCACATCAAATGACATGGACTTGCTCAACAGTTATTTGTATGCGGAAAAAGTGGCACACGCTGGGGCGTGGTGAATATAATTGACCTGCGACCTCAAAAAATAAAAACATAATACTAATAAAAATAGAAACTTAACAAGCTCAGTGCTGACGCTCACAGTAGACCCGGCGAGTTTAGTTGCAAACACCCACACGGACAGCGATATAAGTATTAAAAACCACACGAAATAATACGAGTAAAAAACAAAGACAATAACAACAAAAAAGTAGTCCAAGTACACAAGTAATCAAAAAAGTTGAAAACACATGGTAACAGGGCAGCGGCAAAGTGCTGGAATACTAAATTACTTTGATGAGTTAACTAATTTATCGCATGCAAGAAAATACTTGATATTACACACGAATCGCAGCTGGGATAAAAAATAAAAACGAAATTGCGTGAAAAACAATCTGGCAAGGATCTTTAGACACAAATTATCGACGGTGGAGCGTTTTGCTTGGCGACTGACAGCCTCGACGCCATTGAGTGTCCTCCAAAAGCGTTAAAAAAAAAAAGAAACGACAAAAGAAAAAATATTGGAAAATAATGCGAGTATAATGACTGAGCCACAGGCATACAGATTTTTGTGCGTTTGTAAAACAATCAACGAAAAAACGTGGTGCACAACACATGCGCGTAGTAAGCAATATGGAAATAGCACTAAAATATTTAATCAGTAGCAACAAGCAGAGCAACAGATAAAAAGTGTACAGTAAAAAGGTATGAAAGGCGGCGCTGCTGGAATCGCTCGCTATGTAATTCAAAGAAAGTCAAATTAACCCAATTAAGAAAGTGTGTGTGCTTGTGTGAGAAGCTACTGGACAACGGTAATAAACAGACGTGCATGTGCTACAGAGTACAGTCCTAATTTGTAAAAATAATAAAAAAAAAAAAAATTTTAAATATTAAAATTAAAATAGGAAAATTAAATGTATATTGAAAAAAATTTAAGTTTAAAAAAAATATTCAAAAAAAAAAAAGAAAATTAATTGTATATTGAAAATAAGATAAGTTAAAAAAATTAAAAGCAAAGCGAAACTGGGCCAACTGAGGTATATTACAGGTAAAGAGCATGCTTAGAGGGCGTCAAGTTGACAATAAATACTGCAGTTATGTCCTGCTACTGCACTCTCTCGCTCCCCACCACATACACATAGCACAGTGGGACACAATTAGATAGCGTTTTTGCTGTGTAATTTTTCTTTGACCCTTATGCCATCAGTAACAACAACAATACCTACATATACCATCAGCAGCGTCCTCACCGTGGCAAAGTGTGTCAATCAATATGGAAATGTGCTCTTGCATAGAAGTAATAGAATTGATTTGTTGCATATTGTTGTTGCAATGCTATGGTGATGGTGATGGTGAAATGGAGATACAACAACAACAAGCAAGAGAAAATAGGTTTCACTCAATGATTTTGATCTCATATTCGCGGCGATGGCAAGAGTTGACGAGTACTTTGGACGTTACAATGGGTCAAAACAGCTTGAGAATGGGAGATAAGTATGTAAAAAGTTTGAAATGTTTATAATTGATAAACAGATGTCAGATGCAGGAATTCTTAAAATACTGATATAATATTATTATTTATTGTCATGTATTAACAGCCACAAGAAAAATTTAAATAACAAGAAGATTATTTTTAATGGCTTTTAAATTTAAAATTAATTATTACCATTTTTTTATGGAAATTTGGCAAGGATTATGTTTCAATATAACGTTACAATTTTCGAAAAAAAATTTCAGACCGGATCACTGTAGCATATAGTTACCTTACAAATTGATCGATCAAAGTCAAGTTTTTGTATGGACAATTTTCTTATTTGTGAAGCTTATTAATATAGCTTCGGGGCAACCGAAGTTAACTTTTTGTCTTTTGTTTTACTTAGTTAAAATATATTTTTACTTAATTTTATATTTTATATTGCTTTTATTGGACTTTTATTATTGTTTAAACAGGAATACATGTTTTAATTGAATAATATTTAATTTTTTTTTAGATAATTTCTTTTTATTTTTAAACAATTAATTTTTTCGTTACTATTATTTCTTTTAGCTCAACATTAAACTTAAAAAAGAAATTATTTTCGTCACAATAAACTTTTATTTTCTTCTTTTGCAAGCAAATTAAAAATTTCGAAACTTTCTTCAACAAATAAATCTGTAAACATCAAAAACAAAAAAATCAAATTAAATGTTTTGCTTTGACTCAACCCACTGTGCAGCATTAAGGGCAACAAAGCGTTTAGGAGCGGCCTCGAATAAATTTAGGGCACGCGATGAACTTTTGGAGCAAATGATATGCACAAAGGATGGGCCAACCGAGGCAAGAGTGGAGCAGAGGGAAGATATGGAGGTGAGTCGCTATAGAATTACTTTTATGTAGTGGCAGTAGTTATGTGCAACAAGGCAATAACCGCAGCTATTTGTTGCGCATACCGAATTCAATGTTGCGTGTGACACCCTTTCTCTGGTTTTATTTTATTTTTTTTGGGTTTTTATCAAATTTCTCTAGTTTTTTCTATCTAGACATTTTCTTGCATTAGCTCTATCATGAGTTTGTAGGTTTTAAAAATAAATACAATACAATATGTCTGTATTTTTTTTATTTCGGGTTTTTCTTTTATTACCTTTTATTATCACAGAAATGTGCGGCTGCAGCGACGGCGTTGGCGGCGGCGGCGTTACAAAATTCCTTAGAATTCGGACATTTAACTAATAATACTAGGCACAGAGGAGATTGTTGTTGTTGTTGATTTTGATGATGGTTTTGTTGGTGAATATGATGATGATGTTGTTGGTGTGGCTGCAGTTGTTGGTTGTTGTTACTACCACTGCTGCCACTGTTTTGAAGATGCTGTTGTTGTTGTTGTTGATTACTTGATTGTTGCAAGTGATGTTGTAAATTATGATTATTTTGCTGTTGTTGCTGCGGTTGTGGGAAACGTGAATGTTGAGGAATAGGCTGTTGCTGTTGTTGTATTCGGTGGTTATTTGTTGTATTATTTGTTATGTTGTTATTATTTGTCACTTGCGGATTGTACTGCTGTAATTGGTGATGTTGTTGCTGCTGCTGATTCACATGCCGCCTAATGGATTGGTTGATGCGATTCGTTATCGAATTGGTGAGAGCGGAATGATGGTCTCGGTGGTGGCTATGTTGCGGCAGGCGGTGTTGGTGGCAGTTGCTATTGTTAGTGTGTTGTTGCTGCGGGGTGGATGAGATACTAGCAGCGGCGCTTGATGTGGCTGCCGATGCAGCCGCTATGCTGCTGCTGCTTGGCGCTGTGAGTTGTTGTTGGAGGTGGCTGTGGTTATTCTGATGCAGATTGTTGTGTTGTTGGTTGGGATGGCTGTTGTTGTTATTGCTGTTGCTGTTGCCGCCGAAAAGACGACTGGCAATTATACTGTTATTCAAGTGGTGGTGATTTTGGTGGCTATTGTTATTGTTGTTGTTACTGCTACTACTATTGTTGCTACCGTAAATACTGGCAAATAGTGAAGTGGGCGTGCCGGCGAAATTGGAATTTGAGATCGCAGAAGAGGATGGCGGCGATGCTGGGGAGGAAGAAATGGAATTACTGCTCGGATTGTTGTTGTTGTTAGACGCCAACGTTGAGGAACTGTGTGAACGCTTTAAAATTCTGTGCAAATTATTGCTGAACGCTTCCTGGAGAATGTTGCTTGGCGAGGCCAAGTGTCGCTGCAACGTTGTTGTGCTACTTCGCAGGTTGCTGCTGCTACTACAATTGTTGTTATTATTGTTGCTGTTGCTACTGCCGCTACTACTGCTGGCGCTTACACTCGTTGCTCCACTTTCGAAATTTAGGTGACCCAAATGTTGCTGCAACACCGAAGGCGCTTGCTGCTGCTGCTGTTGTTGATGCAGCGTTGGCTGCTGCAATTGCAACTGTAATTGAGGCAATGTGGGCACAGCGGCCGCCGATTGTGGCGCGTGTTGGTGACCTAGCGTTGGCTGATGTTGTTGTGCTGACGGCTGCAAATCGCTGTTGCAGTAGGACGACAGACCGCGCAATGCCACTGGTGGCGTCGATATCAACTGTTGCAGGCGACTGCAATTACTATTGCTGCTACCACTGCTACTGCTAGCCAATTGACGGCTTACACTGCTGCCACTCACTTGGGAACTGTTATTACCGCTAACACCACTGCTACTGCTACTGTTGTTGCAACTACTGTTACTGCTGCTAGCAATCGCATCCAAGAGCGGCGATGTAGCGGACGAGGCGGCTGCTTCTATTGTGGCAACTGTGCCTGTGGTTGTAGGCGATATTGCGGGCCTAGCTACGGTGTTGGTGCTTGCGCTTGCGCCTGCAGCTGTTGCTTTTGCACCAATTAACGCTGCACTACTTACACAATAACAATTGACATTTGGCTCTGGTTCTTGTTGTTGCTGCTGCTGCTGTTCTGGCGGTTGTTGCACCCGCTGCTCTGCGTTGGAATGCAACAATTGTTGCTTCACTCGCTGCTGTTGCTGCGGTTGTTGTTCTGTTTCTTCCACGACCAACACTGGTTCCTCGGCAATAACGTGCTCTATGACCGCCTGCTCTGACGGCGCGACAGCCAGCTCGAGTTCACCCGCGACACTATCTAAGATATCGACAACATTTAGATTTCGCTTTTTCTTGATTTTAACAAATGGATCAAACATTTTACGTTCGTCGTTGGCGACAATTTTGTCCAAAAATTTATGAGTACTGCACGAACTCGTGTAAATAATTTAAATAAAATTTTATTTATGTTTTGCCACTGGCCCGTTTTGTTTTGAAAACAATTGTATTTAAACTATTTAAATATGTTTATTTATTTCTGTTTATTGTTCAATTAGACAATTAATTTTTTATCAGCACATTAGCTAAAACTTTTAAAAATATTTTTTTCTAGTTTTTCTCATGTCACTTTCCAGTTTAGTTTGTACTGTATGTCACATAAGTGTAGTATAAC